TTCTAACACAAATCACCAAATCACATGTACACTGGCGTAAGCTAGCAAATATCATTAACTCTAACACACTTCACCAAATCACACACTGGCGTAAGGAAACTTATATCCTTAATTCTAACACAAATCACCAAATCCCATGTACACTGACGTAAGGTAGCATATATTATTAATTCCAACGCAAATCACCAAATCACACACTAACGTTAGGTATATAGCATATATCCTTAATTCTAGCACAAATCAATAAATCACATGTACACTTGCATAAGGAAGCATATATCCTTAATTCTAACACAAATCACCAGCTTGATCGATACAACTCTATTTTGTTATTAATGCTGCTATTTTTATGTTTGAAAAAAAGAAAATTGCCAGCAAGTTCTTATTTTTCGTTATGATAAATTTTTACTTAACATGATACATATAATCTATAAAATAAAAACCGTACATACACGTAGAAATGATCATGTTGCAGAAGTTCAAAGCATATATCGCAGATCAGCTGACACAAACAGATTGGCATTTGACGCTCATTTTCAGCATCCATGCATGTTACATGAACTACATGTATATGGATAGCGTGCCAGTACGTAAACACCATATACCCGTGTATATCTTAATGGAATTCTGTTTTATCCCATCATCTCCATAGAACATAGAGTTTTAAAGCCAAACCGTCTTCACTTACCCTCACAAGAACAACTTATCCATTTGGTAGTGACCAATTATAGAAATTTGTGAGGTACTGAGTATTAACTCGAATGAAAATTACAAAAACTATAACCAAATAAATCGTTACTCGTTCTATATGTATATATATACACTGCCCTCCAAAAGTTCTGTTACATATTTTAAATTTTGCTGATTAATTATCTTTGACAAAACTATTGGATTTTTTTTTCTTTTTTTCTATTAATTAAAAGGGATATAATGTGATAAAGATGATTTGCCATCATTGATTATCCAAATTGAATCACAAAAAGGGTTTTATCAAACAATTCTGTTATTTCACATTTTACATAAATCTATCAGATGTTTGAGAGTTTTTAGATTTACTTTAATGTACTAGATATCTAATTTTAATTTTAATTTGATATGACAAAATACATCACTATTCACCACTCATTGATTATTTGTTATCTCTTAAGTATAGTTGTACTATTCAATCACTTTGCAAATACTCATGAGAAGAAATACAGCGAATGATAAGGGAAGAACTTTTGGAACCAGTAGGTAAGTGAATGTTTTCATCGCGGATATGGTGCATTTATATATTTACTTATCCAGAACCTGTCTATAATTGTTTTACTGTTTCTCTTTTGTTGCAGACAGAACGTGTACATGGCCATTAAACGGTTCCAAGATACCGGGAACTATGAGGATCGGGAACGTTCTGGCCGGCCACGGATTTCTACCCATCGGGATGATAGATTATTAGTCCGGACCAGTCTCAAAAATCGCAAGGATACCGTTCCTGAGCTTCGAACGGAGTGGATACAAAATGGTGTGGTAGCGTCGAATACCACAGTGAGGAGACGATTACACAATGCGGGATTGAAAGGTTGTGTTGCTGTCGAAAAAAAACTTTTGACTGCTACCCATCGTCGGAAAAGATTGACATTTGCACACAACCATGCAAATTGGACATTGGTGGACTGGTCGACTGTTTTATTGACTGACGAGTCTAAGTTTATCATTTTCCAAACAGATGGCAGAACATATGTGAGAAGAAGGGCACAATTGCGGCGAGAATGTGTAGTGACTACAGTTAAGTTTGGTGGTGGCGGTGTGACAGTTTGGGGTGCAATGTCCTACCGAGGGACTGGATACCTTACTCCTTTGAAAGGAAACCTGAACGGAACCAAATACATTGATATTTTAGAAAACAGCGCGGTACCATCAGCACATCTGCTAGGCTATGGAAACAACTATTTATTCCAGGATGACGGTGACGAATAATGAACGAATGGAAGGAGGACAACAATATTCTGTCTTTGGGGTGGCCCCCACAGTCCCCCGACTTATAAACCCGATAGAAAACTTGTTGAGATATCTGGGTTTTGAAGTTCGCCGACACAAGGGCAGAAATCTAAGGGAGCTTGAAGCTACCTTACAGCTTAAATGGGCTGGAATACCTGATAGGATATGTAGAACTTTGGTTAGGAGTATGCCTGACCGTATATAGGCTGTGATTAGAGCTCGTGGAGGATACACTAAATATTAATAGAAATACAATGTTTTTGAAAATTTACATAAACGCTGATTTTTGTAACATTATCTTAACTTAACATAATAAAATCAACAGAAATAATTGTCCAATAACTTAGTTAATAATATATGCAAATGATAATAAAATCAAGATTGGCATAATTCTGTACTTTAAGTATATATCGAAAAAATGCAAATGTAACAGAACTTTTGGACGGCAGTGTACATATAAGCATGTAATACAACGTGTTGATAAGTTCGAAAGATGATAATTTTATTACAGAAATGCATGTTAAATGTTTCTTATTAACTGGCGGTGTTTACACTTGAATAGAAATAATCTTCCTTTAACTATACCATACATTTTACCTATACTAGCTAAATAATTTAACATAATATATACAAATTGTTCAGGCTGCCACCTACTAACACTTCTGGAACATCATAAAATCGAGATACTTCCAAAGTGACTTACATGTACCAGTACAGACAAGATAATAATAGCATCAGTATATTGTACCTTCATATTGAAACAAAACAGAGTTTTACCTGGCTGAGAGGGAATTTAAGGTAAATAGATAAGTACTATTCCTTGTGCTATATTAGACCCCCTAATGCAGCAACGTTCTTAATGCATCAAAACAATATTAAGTGTATATATGTGTAGGCTTTATGTATCAATTGTGAAAGGTTTAAGCCTACACATGTATATTCTTAATGCTATTTTGATCATTAAGACACATTGATCCATTAGGGGGTCTAAAAGTGGTATAAATCATCGTTAATATCTTACCTGTTAAAACTGCTGGTCGAGATTTGTTAAAACGAGTTACCCGATATGTACAGAGGAAATGTGACATATATGTACGTACTATATTGACTTTGCAGTACTTTACCAGGGGTATGTCACTCTCATCACACGAGAACGTATCAGTACCAAGCGAAATCGCCGATAAGCTTCATGATTCGATGAGTAAATACACTTGTATTTTGTGTCCCTTTTATATAGATTTAATTTAAATTGCAAAGACTTTCTTATTTCAAGTCATTTTCAGTTTGCATAAATATAGAAATATTTCTTCTATAATTGTCATGTTAGGGTGTCATTAAGTTAAGTAATGATGAGAAATGAAATTCATGTCCTCCAATAAAAAGTAAATGATACGTATAACATTAAAATAGACAATTAATGATAGTTTAGTATCACGCTATACTTACTGGATATCAACCGGACGCCAGTGGAGCTGAGAGCCTACTTATACATAGATATACCCGGTGAGTAATACCAGGGCTGATGTTAGACAATATCGTCTTATCAAACACTCATTATCTTAACAAGGAAGTCAACTTGTGTGAAAAAAATATATTAAACTCCGAGACCGGATGTTGACTGCAGGTCCCAGTCCCCGACGTTTATCGGCTTAGTACGTCCTTAATTATGTCAACATGGAAACTTCGCCGGTCATCTTAGACTGTCCGAGTACAGGTACACCAATCGGTATAGGCCTGTCGTGTGTATTCACATAAACCTGTATTTAGATGTACTTGTATCTAAATATTGCCGATAGCCACCCTTCACTACGCCAACTGAAATTTATGATACTAGATAAAGACTCTGCTGGGTGTAGTCAAGTATAAGTAAATCAACGATAACTTTCTCCAATCTCTCGGCACAATAAACCCGTATATGATCCATGACATACAGTGTTGAGTAAACAGGCCCCTAATAGAATGTGTAACTATATGATAGTGTGACTCAGGTGGGTACAGGATCATGTCCTTTTCATCTTAATCCATTCAGCAGTGTTTGCAGGGGAATTATTTTGAGTGACCTTGACATTTGAGAGCTAACTTTCGATGTCTTGCATGTCAATACGCATGTTTGACCTCTTAGCTTTATCTATGACCCTTGGTTTCACATTGATATGTACATGACTATGTTTTATCTTTCCCCTCGATATAACCTTCGAAATTCCAAGGGCTACCCTCACTTACGCTCTCCGCACTTGTGAGCGTAACCCCTGGAATTTCGAGGATGCATCGATAGATGACCTTGGCATTTAAATTGTTTGATTGTTTATGATGCAATATATGACACTGTGTTTGACCTTTCACCTCTATATATCAGACCATGGCATTTGTATCATTTTATTGAATTATGACATGGCGCCATTGTTTTGAAAACAAACTTTCATAATGTTTACACATGTACACGTAAAAAGACACGACCTATTCTCGACGCTGACATGCTCCCTCTAAATGTTCTCTAAACAAAATACAGGTTCATACATTACTTCGCATCTGTACACATTTCACTGTTGAAAAATACCAAGGAAATACATGACCTTGAAAAGGGATGTATACATGTACCTATATCTGAGATCACGTTTCCTTTTGAGATGAATCAGAAATGCATACATTGCATTAAATCACAAGACAGATGAAAGTGACAGGTAGTTCATGAAAACTCACTGTAGAAAAATTATACCCCGTGACTCACAGTAGAAAAATTATGCCCCGTGGTCGATCTACAAAACTCACAGTATACAAAGTATACCCCTTGGTCGATCTACAAAACTCACAGTATAAAAAGTATACCCCGTGGTCGATCTACAAAACTCACGGTATAATAAAAAGTATATCCCGTGGTCGATCTACAAAACTTGCAGTATAATACAAATTATACCCCGTGGTCGATCTACAAAACGAAAGCGATTCCCAAACCGAAATGAAAAGGCATTTATCAGAAATAATCTTATTCAGTTAAGTTGATATATGTTTTGATACGTTACCTTGAGTATGACCATATAGCAGTGTTTTTGTAGAAACAGCGTGGTTGTATGGCCCTGGAGGTTTGGCTACGATGTAGTGGTTTGGCCCTGGAGTTTTGGCTACGATGAAGTGGCTTGGCCCTGCGCGTTCGGCGACGTTGCTGGCCTTTCGGTAACGGCGTTATGGTGTAGCACTGGCTTAGCGACAATGGCGTTGTTCCGTGGTCCTGACCTTATGGCAGTGGATTGGTTGTGTGGTTGTGTAACAGTGACATGGTATCCGTTTGTTCGAAGATAGGTTACACAACGTTCCAACAGTGTTAGATTCTCCGTGTTGCTATGCAACATTTGAAATAACGAACGTTGTATCGATAAAGCCTCGGTGTCATTAGGAGGTGTAACAACAGCTAGACGTGTGGGATCTAGTTACAAAGCATTATATGAAAGTTGTCACCAGACTTCTACGTCAACTAAAACTTTACTACCATTGACCCGGACGTATACCTATATCAATAACATAAAGAATATAAACATATCGGCGTAATTGTAGTTGGTGATCTCAACGCACAGTATGATACGGTTCCCATCTCATACTCAGCACGGCGAAAACAAACGCTTGTCCATAGGTTTATTTCTTCCAATAACCTGATCCCTGTCAACAAATCGGATCTGTGTGCAGGTCTACCTTACACATTTTCTCCCCTTGAAACTACCATCGACTTTTTTTTGATAAGTGACACAATGATTGACTGTATCCAATCGTGTAGAGTTTTCGTGTCTGCCGATACAGATATAGCATCCGATCACGCGGCTTTGGAGTGTAGTATCCGGTCACCTGAAATTTTCCATACTCCATATCATATATCGCCCTCGCAGCCTAACTGGAGGAAATGTACAGTTAATCATTTGATACAATTTCAACTGGCAGTTGACAGTATCCTTCGGGATTATCTTGATTTTGATATTAATGCACAGTCGGACATTGTATTCCTAGTTCAACATATGACTCACGGTTAAAACCATGGTGGACGAAAGCAGTGAGAGAAGCGCACAAGTGTGCACGTGATCGACGAAAGGAATGGATAGCTGACGGTAAACCACGAGGCTCTCATTATCCAACCTATCGCCAATATAAAAGCGCTAAACGTCACTTCAAGACGATTCAAAGTAGAGCATATGAGGAACATCAGCAATTCCTATATCAGAACTTGAACGACGCAGCGGATTGTGATAATGCAACATTCTGGCAGGCCTTGAAGAAATTAAAAGGAACGTCCTACACTAGAATTTCAACCATAAAAGTTCAGGGCGAGTTACTTAGGTCACCTGAAGATAATGCGGAAGCATTCAAAAACTATTTTTGGAACGTTTTTAAATGTGACACTGATGCATCGGACTTTATAAATTGTGAAATTACAACTGACCCCATGTCTGTTTTGGATACGGATGAACTAAATCGGAAAATCGTGTTTAATGAAATTGAATGTGCCCTAAGGAAACTTAAGTTAAATAAAGCACCCGGAACCGATGGTGTTCGCAATGAACATCTACGTTATGGAGGACGAACCCTGATACTATGTTTACAAAAGCTGTACACCAAATGTATCAAACTTGCTCACGTACCTGGTATATGGAAAAGAGGTTTAATTCTTCATTTTCACAAAGGTGGTAACAAGTCTTGGTGTGATCCCGCTAATTATCGACCAATTTCCCTGTTATGTTGTTCCTACAAATTATTTGAAAAGGTCATCAGCAATCGGATACAGGCCTCCCTGGCGACTTCAGTCCTTCCCTTCCCGAATTCACAACAGAACGGTTTCCGCAAATCTTTAGGATGTACGACGGCGTCTTTCTCTCTCCAGGAGACGATTTACCATAACCTTGAGTTAAACAGCACCGTTTATTTAGCCTTTCTCGATATCAAAAAGGCCTGCGACACTGTTTGGCATGGAGGGCTAATGGCAAAAGTAAAAGATCGTGGAGTCAATGGACAACTCTTCCAGTGTATTCGCGAGTCTTACACCGATATGGTGAGCGCTGTGACGTGGCAGGGAACGACGTCATCTTGGTTTCCTGTTGAGTCAGGGGATCGACAAGGAGGAGTATTGTCGACATTTCTATACCAAACATTCATCGATTCCCTTCTTTGCAATTTAGAGAATAGTAAGCTTGGTGCTAAAGTCCAATGCTAATTAACTGGAAATCCGACGTTAGCCGACGACATATCCTTGATCACAACTTCCCCGCTTTCACTTCAAAAGCTTCTGAACATTTGCTATGAATACAGGCGTGAGTGGAAATTCGTATTTAATCACTCAAAGTGTAAAACTGTTGTTATAGGAAATAACATCCCAAGACAGCGCGATGCAAGTTGGATGCTTGGACCTGTCACTATTGAGACCACCTGCTCTCAAGTTCATCTAGGAACTATTGTAAGCTCACAAATGTCTAACGCCGAACGCATCCAGGCTGCGTGTGTCAAAGGGATAAAAACGCTACATTCTATCATAGTGCTTTGTCCCTCAGCATGTGATATCAATCCTCTAGTAAAAAATCAGTCTTTATAAGAAAGTGATACTACCTTCAATTCTATATGGATGTGAGCACTGGGTTCAACTCGGTAATACCGACCTCGCGAAACTTAGTCGCTTTCAACATTACGCTGCTAAGGTCATTCCTGGAGCTGATCGTCGTGCCAGGTCAGATATTGTTGAGCCTGTACTTGGTTTGATTAGAATTTCTGCAGCTATTTATAAGAGGAAGCTAATATTTCTCGGAAAGCTTGTTCTGATGGAGCAGTCTCTCTTAACTAAGCAGATCTTCACAAGAAGACTATATTCATTCCTTCATTTGCACTCGTGAAAGAGGGTTTGTTCCGGATATTGTGCAGATAATCTACAAATATAACATGTCGTCTTACTTGGATGCACACCTTCGTAACTACACGTTCCCCTCTAAGCTTCATTTGAAGGGAATAGTGAGAAATTCCATAATAGCTACAGAAAACCTGACCCTAAAAGATCGAATAAGAAACAACCGTGATTTTGATATATTTAGGAACTGTCACTCCTCCTACAACCCGTACATTATGTTGCGCGCGGCAAAATCTAACAGAGAAATAGAAGAAATTTACTCATTGTGCAGATTATTGGCTAAGCCTTCGGCACCTGACCAGAACGTTTGCTCCACGTGTTCCCAACATTTCTATGACGTCATATCTCACTATTGCTGTACCTACGAGTACACCAGCGAACTCCGGGCTCATTTTCTTCAGATGACCCTGCATAAGTTTGGATTGAATGTGTTCAATTACATTGATCAACATGACACTGCTACCTTTCTTCACAATTCATTAGGTGCAGGTACAACTCAAAAACTGTTTCTGATGCATGCAGCATACTTTGTCGTGCGCGCTTCGCGTACTCAAGTGAATGGAATGATTTAAGAAACCATGACTAAGACTTTTACTCGCATTCGCGAGGACACAGTTCTTTAGCTGCGCCCAACCGTGGCATTTTCTGTCCTTTTTGTAATTTTTGCTTTTTTTCTTGTACACAAATATCTCCCTTTTGGAGGAAATAAAGTTTGATGATGATGATGGCAGTGGATTGGTTGTGTGGTTGTGTAACACTGACGTGGTATCCGTTTGTTCGTAGATAGGTTACACAACGTTCCAGCAGTGTTAGATTCTCCGTGTTGCTATGCAACATTTGAAATAACGAACGTTGTATCGATAAAGCCTCGGTGTCATTAGGAGGTGTAACAACAGCTAGACGTGTGGGATCTAGTTACAAAGCATTACATGAAAGTTGTCACCAGACTTCTACGTCAACTAAAACTTTACTACCATTGACGCGGACGTATACCTATATCAATAACATAAAGAATATACACATATCGGCGTGTTAAATCCGGATCAATGAATTTTTCTCTGATTACAATATTTTTACAAACTAAGTATATTAAGCTGTTTATCGTATTTTCTATATATAAAATTTGATACTGATCTTGAAATTCGTTCACAAAAAGAAAAAAATATGCTTTAGGTTTGAGTCATATCCTGTTTCCGTATTAAAAATGTTCAATTTATATTAAGCTGGTATTATTGTGATTTTATGGTGTAATTTGTACTCTTATCCTATTTACAATGTATTTATACTTTCAAAATGATAATTTGAGAAAGCTTGTTAAATTGCTGCGATTCACAGGTTATCAAGTACATGTATATATTAAATTGCGTTGATTCTTCACTATATATAATCCAGAAAGCTTTTGCTAACGTTTTGGTTCTGTTTTACTTACCATCTTTTCCTGTGAATGTCCCGCCCTGTCAACTAGACTGCTTAGTTCCTCAAGTGCGCCCAAGACGAAAATATCAGGGGTAGCCAGACTTGTCCCGGTCTCCTCAGCTTCAGCGGAACCTTGTTAGTTTAAACACTAAGGTTTTAATATACTAATTAAAGACACTTTGATTTCAGTATAAAATGGAACCTGTACTTCCAGGAATTTTAGTTTCTGTATCTGCATACATTGGAATCTCGCTAGCCAAGAAACTGTTATTTCTGTGTACAGTAAAATGTACTTACTCCTAACACTGAGAGCAAGGTGACCCAAATTTGTCTCAAATAGAAAATATTGAAATTTTTAATCAAGTTCAGAGGTACATTATGGCATCAGGCAGATTCTAGGTGTTGAAGTGGAATCTCATCACTCTCTCAAATTTCTAAATCTCTATATTCTATCTCTCTTAATAATTTAACTCTTTATTTCTCATTTCTTTCTTTCTTGCTAATTAGATTAAAATGTGTGTTATATTTGTTAATTAATTATGGTCAGTCAGAGAATATAAATGTTTGTTAAATGTTACCTAAAGGAGATGGCCTAATATAAGATTTTATATCTTGTCGCCAGATCCTTTCAATTTATGTGATTGTATTGTATTGTAAATGAATTTAATTAATAAATATTGTTTAAACCAACACTGAGAGCTGACAGTGCAAGTTAAAAAAAACTTTCAATTGAGATGAAAAAAACAAGTTTTATATTTTTAAGGTTTTGAGATGTTCCCCAGTGACTCTTCCGGCTATCGTTTATGAGGAAGCGATGACATTTTACTTTGTGCTTACTTGGTAAGTTTTAAGTTCCTATAAACAGTGGAACCTTCTT